CCTGACTGGGGTCCACTGACAGGCACTGTCAGCCCTCACACACTAAGGCAAAGCATGCTCTGAGTGGTCACTAGCCTTGTGGGCAAGGTGCTGAGCCAGCTGAGGTCTTGTCTGACTCTTGTAACTGGTTTCCTTTTGTATGCAGCAGGAATCACTGCAGTGCACGAGCCTTTGGACAGCACAGTATTGGATTCCTGCCTGCAGATGGAAAAGTGAAAGGGGACTAGAAGAAAGAAAGAAAGAACGAAAGAAAGAAGCGATCCATATAACCACAGGCCTGACCTCAGCTGCGTGCCAGCTTTTAGAGCAGATTTGGAAGGAAACAATAATCAAGGATACAGTGGTAAATGGAAAATAGGAAAAATGCAACATAGACTTCCTCCCGGCAGACCAGGCTAAACTAAGTGGGTGTATTTCTTTGATTAAAGTAACTGCTTTTCCAGACAGTGGAAACATGGTAGATTTAATTGATTTGGTTATCAGTAAAGAACTCCCTCTGCTGCACTGGAAATGCTTAAGCAAGTTGGAGAAACTGGTCATGTGCTGGAAAACATGTATATCAATGTGCATGGTAGGTGACAGTCAGCCCCCATGCAGTGCTGTAAAGGAAGTATCAGGTATGAAGGGAACTCAGATCAAATACCAGTGGATTTCCTTAAAGCACTGTCTTTACTTTTGATGAATTTGGCACAGAACTGCTGAAAGACTGGTGAAATACTCTACTGACAGTACAAAGTCTAGAAGCATTGTATGTTGTGGAGAAACAGGGTATCACAGAAGATAAACTGAACAAACTTGAGTACTGCAATAAAACAGATAGCTTGAAAATAGCATACCTTGCAAGGTAGGGGCTAATAACAAGCATGTCTATGCTAAAGAAAGATTCACATGTTGAAACAAATGATGGCGAAAACATTCAGAATGACTCTAACCATAAACATGATGCAACCATGAAGAAAGCAAAGAATACATCAGCATTGTTACTGACAGTGAAGATAGGCAAGAGAAAATTAATGGATTTAGCCCAGCAAAATGATAGAAGATAAACTGGATTGCTGTATCATATGGCATTACACATAAAGAAAAGAGCTAGTGAGCAAATAAACAGATCTGAACAAATAGAACAAAAACAAAAAGGACAATGAAGATTGGAAATAAAAGATCTTGACCCACACAAACAGCTAGGTCACAGAAAAGTCTTCCAGCAAGGGAAGTAGGCTGCAGAGCAAAATTGTTTTTATGGAAACTAGTGTATAACATGCCACTAGTAGTACTAGAAAACTAACTCTTGGACTCAGAGATGCTTTCAAGTCCTGAACAGTGAAAATAAGAGCTCAGGTCTCCTGTGGTTTTCTGTGGATGAAGACAGGGATTTCTGGCTGTTCATGCTGCTGTTAAGCATCTGTGTAGGAACAGCACATATTCAGCAGGTCCCCAGAAGGACTCAACCTCTATTAAAATCTGTTACAGCAAAGACAAGGAAAATTAACAGTGTTTGCATACAGACCACTGCAAGTCTAACAGTTGGGGAATTTCACATGTTTTTGGTTCTTTTTCTGCTTTAGAGGGGAGCATTTTCATATCCATAAAACCAACCATGCATGCTGAAGTGTGTGGCCACTGGCCGACCTATGTTTTCAGTAATAACAGCTGATGTGATCTGTGATTTCTAAATCTTGTGCCAACATGAGTGCTGGGTTTGCCTATATATTTGGGTTGGTGTTCAGTGTGCTGGAAGCAACCCATACGCACCGCATGCAAGAATCCAGATTCCATCTGGTTACAGCAGGGTTTTGTAAAAAAATATCTAAAGAGCTAGGCAAAGGATTAGAATAAAGAGGTGCTAATAGGGTGCAGTTGGGACAGGAAAGGAAGCTGTAAAGAATTTAATGGAAAAAGAGGGTCAAGGAACATAAAAAATAAAATAAGAAGAAAAAGAGGCATTTTTTTAAAAGGTGAAAGAGTAACAATAATAAAGAATGAAAGATTCTTTTTTTTTGCCAGTTTCAACAAAACTCTTAAGAAAATTCTGTTCTCTGAAATTCAATTTTAAAACATGTCAGTATATCCAATCCTTTTTTTCAGTCTGTTTTGTTTTTTTTCAGATGCTATGTTGCAGTTGCAGAGCTCTAATCTCCTTGGCCTCATGAAACTACTGTCCTCTACCCCACAATATTTGGCTCTCCCAAGAGGTGGCTGAAGTTCAAAGGGATGTATAATTTGCAAAGCACTTTGAGATCATGCTGGAAGAAATACACTGTTATTAATATCATATACTTTTTTTCTCTCCAGATCATTTTATATATAACGTAGGTTATTTTTTATTTTTATTACAATCTCAGCATCAATAGTCCTCTCTGTCTCCTCCATTTGTACGACATGATCTCACTCCATCCCAAGGAGCTTGCAGACCACATTATAAGTGAATTAAGAGAAGATGCAAAGAGTGTGGGATAATGAATTAAAGTCACACAGCATACCCAAAAATGAAACAGAGACTGAGGGTCCAATGACTGTGTCCTGGGTTCTGGCCATTACACCTTTCCTTAGAGACAAATTCTCTGTAAGATGATTCTCCTACATTTTGAATAAAAGTTTAAATGTATAGAAAAATGCACAAAACAGAGCAGACCTACTGCTGAAAGGAAAGCATTATTCTTTCTTCTGCTCAGGTAAAGGGCTTAGGTCTGAGTGGAAATGGGAAAGGACCTTATTGTAACAAGATGCTACAGTAATTTTACTTCAAACCCTAAAACAAATTCAGGGTTTATTAAGAAAAAAAAAAAAAGCATTGACATGGTGAAAGAGAATGGTTTCTTTAAGATGTTCTTGGTCAGAGAATATGCTAAGCATGCATTTCTAATATCTGGGTGGGCAAACGCAAATGGAAATTTAAATTCTACAGAGGCACAGAGAATGTGCTTCTTGAAAATGTTTCCAGTCAAAAGCATGTTAAGTGTGAAAGTGTGGTCTACACAGAGGGAGTGAGGGAGTGTGGTCTGTCAGATCATCGGCTAGGGTTTTGTGGCCATTTTGGGTACTAAGGACATTTGGTATTGACTGCCACTGCTCAGACAGCAGAATGTCACTGTGCTGGAGCTAATTATTCCTGAGGAGAGCTGGGCTAAACTGTGGCTGTATGTTGCCTGATAGCTCTGTACAGAAGAAGAGATACCTTGGAACACTATTAAGGGCTGGACCCGAATCCACTAAAGAACACAATTCAGATACAGTAACTGGTTTGGTCCTTCCTCAGGAGGTTGTGTGTTATTTTACCTCACTGTGTCTCTGCCTTGAAGAGGCCGCAATATCATGCAGTAGGTATGCAACGAAGAGGAGACTTCACCAAGAGCTCAGGACCATGAAGATCACACTGAGAAACAGCACTGTGGGTCTTAAGGTTCTAAAGGTCCTGATGGGCAAGACGTCTCTATGTGGTGCTCAGCAAATAGTGGCAAAAGCTTTTAACTTCTTCCCAAGCTCTTTTACACCTCTAACATCTGGAGCCCCTTCATGTGACCTCATTGATTCACTCCAGTCTCTTCCCAATGTATTTTTAAAAAGTCTAAAAGAAATTTTTTATGCCAAGACAGAAACACAAGCTGATGCTCCTTGTTTCAGTCTTTCAGAGAAAATGACATGATAGAAATCCCAGCAGCAGTGAATTTAGGAAACTTCCTCATAGAAATGACAGTTGTTTCCCTCAAGCTACTGGGAGTTTGGCTCTCCTTATACACCTAGAAGCACACACAGTATCTCATTAAACCTTTCAGTACCACTGACAGCATTTTGGCCACAATATTGAGCAGCTGTAATAGATGCAGAAACAAAATGAAACCTGAAACAACCTAGTCTTATTGATGGATTACCTAACACTAGATTTTCCTGCTTCAGGGCATTCTTTAATCAGAATGCAGGTCCAATTAGAGGGAAATGTGTTGCTTCTCATTTCCTCTATTGTTCCTCCCAGCAGGATGAACTTTGTAGGTACATTCCCCTGGCTTTTCTGATTGTACAAGATGCAACAGATAGCAAATTCCTTTTAACAGGCCTTTGTAGATATTCATGAATATCTACATTATTCTAAGTTTATTTTGTGTTCTCACTGTATCCAAAGTGGACGGTCCACTTTAGTTCACAACACTAAGCATTGCTTCAGAGCAAGAGTGAAATTTTTTGCTAGCAAATAAATAGAACAAATTAATTTACTATCCTGTGTTTTGTCATTCTGGACAGAAACTTAACCTTTCATACAATGCAGAAAAAATTAATTTGGCTAAAAGTGCTTGCCAAATCAAAAAACAGTCCTTTTTATTATCTCTAGAACTTCCAACTATTAGTTTAATTACTACTAGTGACACAGAAAACCATCCATTGCAAGGAAAGCATATAAAATACATTTCATTTTAATTTCTTGACTTCAGCAAAATTCAGATTTGCCTTCCAAATGATGCAGGTGTTGGTAGACACTGTACAAATTTAACACCAAGAAGAGATGCTTCTTGCCTGGAGATTCCCAGTCTGAACTACTCTGCTAATACAGATCAGACATGCAAAAGAGCAGGCGAGCTATAATAGCTTAAAGGTTGTGGGTTGTTCAGAAGTTTTTTTGTAGCACTGTGCGACAATTAATCAGACTGTGCTGGTTTAAAACAAAACAAAAGTTAAATATGCTGTTACTGCTATCTTGTCTGGCTTTATACTGCAAGCTGCACCATCTCCCAGGAGACATCCAAAAGGAAAAGAAAGTCATCCTCAAACAATGCACGCAGGCAGTTGCACGGAATCTGGACTTACTGGCCACACATTAAATGGACTCTGAGGTAATAAAAATCTGATCTGCTCAACAAAAGGAAATGAACATTACAGCTGGTTGCTGTAGCTAACAATGCGTCCCAATGCTTTTAGACATTTTCACCATGTTCACCAGATGGAGACTTTGGAAATGGGTGATTTGTGAAGAAAAAGGATATTGTTTTTTATTATTTTTAACTCCTTACCGTGATTGGCAGGGGTGTGTATTACATTTCCTGACCTGGGGCTCGGGGCGATTCACTCGTTGGCAGTCACTGTCATTCACCACTGTCATGGTCTTGTTAATAATTCGAGTACAGGACACAATTGTTTTCCGTTCACCTACAAGTAAAAGAAAATACTACTCTGAAAAACATGGAAGACAGTGGCTAAGAAGAAAACTGTGCCAACTCATTAACTAGATTTCCCTATTATCTTTACAATATGCAATCTATACAGACATACAAATCCTGTAAGCAGTCTTATCTTCCAGTCCTGTGTAACCTTTGTACAGTGCTTTTTTTTTTTTCCCTAAGAAAATATACAAGTTTCTTATAAAATTGACCAGAAACTAGACTTGATTTTTCTAGTGTTAAATGGGAAAACAATACTGAAAGCAACTTGCTTTCATTTCTGGTTCATCCTTCACATATTACAGTGTCCTGTAATCACCTAGGGCAAATGCTCCAGCTGTGAAAATTGGAGTCACACAATTATCTGCCCTGACAATGGAAGGACACTTATATCTTGCTGCTTCCTACACACAAAAAGTTGGGTTGAAAAGGAGTAAACAGACTTCAGGAGTGATAACCTGGGCTTGTTTGTATTTCACAAAGAGGTAAAATTAACTCACCAAAATAAATTATTTCCAATTTTCCTGTATTCCAGATATGATGCCTGAAAAATCCTGCTACTAGGAGACACTTTAGGAGTAATCAGTTTTTCTCACATCAACTATTTCTCTTGCATCAGCACTTTCACTGAGATAGCACAACCACGACACTGGAAAAGTGTCATAGCAAGAAAGCTCTGTCATGGGGCAGCATGACAGTAACCAGATGTGACAAAGAAAATGTCATCCCTGCACTATGAGACTCTGCCTTACTGCATTTTGGTTTCTCAGCTTCTCTCTTTGTGACTCTGAGCTCACAACAAATTGAGCTTGTTCACAGCAGATAATTAAAAGTAACTCAAATTCTGTTAGCACAGAATTTGTACAGTCTATATAGAAGTTATCAATGGCTGAATTGACTGATGAAGTTTAAGCTCAAACTGCAGAAAGTCTGAAGGGAAGAGGTTCTTCTCAGCTAGGGTAAGCACTAGAAGCATCTGACAACCAAAGGATATGAGATCAATTGCCATCCAAGCTGCTATTACTAGTGGGAGCCACACTGCCAGTTACTGATTCGATCCAAGCAGAACGTTTATAACACAAATGAAAAAGGCCTCAAACAATCTCCTACTCATTCATGTGAGTGTTTAATGGTTCTAAGAAATTGTTTTAGAAGGTGAGCAAAAGTGTCTATTTTAAAATAAGTTTTATTTACAGAAAGAAATTCATGATTTCAGGGCAGTGAACTTGCAAATGTGAAGATGAGCACTCTCTTCCTGTGTGAAGAATAAATAGAATAAATAACTCAATCTACTTGTAAAGAAAAACTGACCAGAGTACATGGAAAAAAATCCATTTTCCTCTGGGAAAAAACTACTTCTTCCAGCACTGAAAATTCAATGGACAGTGACTAACAAGCCAGTCTCTGGCCTCACAGGCGTCAAACTCCCCCAGGGTTTCAGCAAAACTCTTTCAGGGATCATCTGAAAACTGTGATTTGCAACATGCAATTGTACCCCCAGAAAGTCCACTGCACATTAAGAGGATCTAACACAATCTCCAGGCGTTGTCACAGCAGCACTGTCCCTGTCTCATCCTTGGGGAGGGAAGTGTCTTTAAATGAACGTGCCTGAACACCTGTGAAAACTCTACTCCAAGAATGTGACAGAGATTTGAGATATGAGGCTGCACACAGCGCCTTAAAGCCATCCATGGAGCACTAACCCAGGTGCAGTTCCAGCCTAGAGTAGCAAGCCGACAAAGCAGTGTCCCTGCCAAAATGCTGGGTGAAAATTAACTGCGGGGATGGGGATGAGAGCTGGGAGAGCTGGTGAAAATGAGCTCTCATTTGAGTTCATTATGGTAATATACATTACCATGGCCAGTTTCCTTCACACTTTGGCAACACTGCCTTCTGCAGGCACCTCTCTAACAGCTGATGTCTGCAAACACTGCACAAGTATCACCAAGTTTCCTTACGGCCTTACCTCCTCCACACTGCACACTACACCCTTCCCATCCGCTGTGCGTCCAGATGTACAATGAATCCTGTTGCTTTTCTGGCTCACTTCTGTTTTCAGCAGTATAGTTTACAGGAATTGTGTATTCATAATGAATTCCGTAATTCTGGTCATGAAATAACAGCACCTGGTTCAGCAGGAAAAGAAAGACTGTTATAACACTGTGAGCTGGGAAAGTCACCAGAATGTGGGGACAATAATGCTAGAAATGCTGTCTCAGGTCAATACTTCTATAATGTAAGTACTTCATGAAAGACAACCAAATCTTTATCTAGGAACCTGAAATTTCAGTAGTGTTGGCAATATGGGGCATCTCTGAGATGCACAAATTGCTCATGGTTTATATTTAGATGTCCAAACCTGGAATTTGGTTCAAAATTATTACTTCAATATAAGACTCAAATGTGATCAGCAAGCCACCACCTGGAGAAAAATAGTAAGACAACAGGAAGCACTAAAGCACCAGTTTTCATATAACTGTTTATATTTCATATAAACTACTACATATAAACTAGTCACATGAACTATTATATATACTCAAACTATAACTATTTATATTTCATATAAGTACAGCTATTTTAATGAGTATCTAGAGTTAAAAAGTCACTCATCAGACCTGTCCTACCTTTGTTTTCCAGAAACCAGGTTGTCTCAAACTTTCATGAACAGACTCAGGCTTCTGGTTGGGAAATTTAGAATGGGAAAGTTCTAGATGAACATGGTACAGTTTACAGATCATTGCAGCCTGCTCTATCCTATCCTGCCTGAAAAGTGGGGATTGAACAAAATAATCTCCAGTTATCTCTTCCAACGTCAACCATTCTGTGGCTCCAATTCTAGAGCTACAGTATTTATTGTTGCATTTGAGTGGGGCTGCAGCAGTTCACAGTTTGAAGGCAGAAGAGTTTATTAACACATCTGAAAGCACAACTGGATCCTTCTCAAAGCAAAAACAACAAACACTAAAAAAATCACATGCCTCCTGGGCAATGTGGCACTTAAATTGAAGGAGACTATTCCTGCTGACAAGCTGTAGGAGAAGGATTTTATTGTCTCAGAAGCCTGAGGACAGCAAGAAAGAACCATATCATACAGCTGCTGGCAGCATATATATTTTCATACCCCTGCACATTGCTGGAAGGAGATGAAACCTGCTTTCAGCAGCAAGCTGATTACTTCCCATGGAGTCACTTGTGATGTATGTCTTTAGTATTATTACTCTGAAAATCACTATTAAAAACTGCAGAGGAACAGAAAAATGCTTAACTTTTCTCCACAGGCAAATGACAGGTCTGGTCCTGTTCTGATTTACCTATTGAGCTTCATTTGGCTCCCATTTCCACTGGCTTAAGTCAAAAGTCACTTGAAGACACCCAAAAAGCAGTATGAGGCCCTCAAAATCTGAATTATCACACTGATACAAATATGATAGAAGTACTACTGGAATGCTGATGTAGTGGCTTCAGATTAGCCTATAATGATTATCTCACAATCTCAAAAGCATTAGAGAGGTGCATTCTGCTGGCTCTTGGCACCTACTAAAAAAGGAGCTGAATCTTACTGAAGAAGACATTTTAAGTACTGCTGTAATAAGTGAACAGAGCAGCTGGCCAATTAAAAAAAAAGCAAATTTACAATTGCTATTTCATCCCAACAATCTTTGCTTCCCATTAAGAATGGCAGAAATCCCTCCTACCTTACTAAGAATTTCACTGAAGCTGTCAGAAGTTCTATTTAACAACAGTGACAACCCCCAACACAACACAGGCTGAAATAAGGGGTCCTGTTTGCAGGCACTGATGTCCTGGAGGTCTGTGCAAGTGAATGCTGTGGGACAACCCAAACAGCACTTGTGAGCTGCTCTGCGCAATGCAAAACTCCACTACAAAAATCACCTTCAAGAAGATGTGAGGAACAAATATATGGTTTCGCTTCAGCTATGGAGGGATCCTTACTACCAGAACTGAATGCCAAGGTAGAAGCCAGGTGAATGCATTTTTATTTTCTCCACAAACCAAACTATCAGGCAGTCCAGCAGCAGAGAACTCAAGTTCTGCTCTGGCTTTCTTTAAGTGCATGAGATACAAACAGCTTGTTTTACAGAACTGATCAGTCGGCCTTGTCTAAAGCATCTCTTTGCTTTGGGAGTGTCTGGTTGTCCTCTATTGCCAAAAAGAGATCTAGCACAAGCCTAGCTACACAAACATTAATTTCTCCAAGAAATATACTTATAGCAATGCACTTGGAGAAATGCCTTAAGTATTAAAAACCAGCCTCTAAAAAGAAATCCTTATTATCTCAATATGGGAGCAAGACTAGTGAATCTAAAAGCCCATATGAAATCAATTTAATGCAATTTTGTAGCCACATATAATTGGTGTGTGTGTATGTGTGTATAATTGGTTTCAAATGCAGGTCACAATGGATTGACTGAAGCTTCTGGCTCTTTGTCAGGCCAGTGTATTCCACCACTGTTTGAACAACAGTTTTCTATTTAGAGGTAAGTGGTAGCCATCCTGCCACTCTTGTGTTGAAAGAATGAAACCCACTACCCTATATTAAAGAAAAGATTAATATCTGATCTGAAGCAAAGACTTCACGCGTGCTTTGTTTATGACTGGCAATGATTTTAAGCCATGTATTTTTTTTAATGGTCTGGTAACTTTTACTTTCCTCCTTTTTAATCATTTCAATAGGAAAGTTGAAGAAGAAAGTTTCCTCTGCTCATATCTGCTGAAAAGTTTGCACCTGAAAATGATACTCACAGAGAACCTCTTCATCATTAATTTCCTATGTTGTTTACTTACTCCTTAGTAAAGGAGAAACAGTATTTCTTTAAAAATAGACCGATGCTGAAGTTTGAAAAAAGCCAGTACAAGGTTTTACTGCAATATGCCTCAACCAAGCAGTGCTCTGGAAACTTCCTAGAGCTGGCAAAGAAATCCTGCACAGCATCTTCACAAACAGTATGTTTTTCTTACAGGAGGTTAGGAAGACCTTGCAAGTATAAGATATTTTTTTAAACTGGGCTGTGAGATGTTTTTATGATGAATGCTAGTAATTTAAAAAAAAAATCTAGTGAAGACAGGAAGAGATTTCTAATATTTAGCAGCATTTGAAGTCAGCATGCACTGAAAAAATGACAGAAAGAGACACTGGAAGACACCCAAAAAGAAGTATGAGGCCCACAAAATCTGATCACACTGATACAAATATGATAGAAGTACTACTGGGATGCTGATAGAAACAGTACACAGAAAAATGTAATTGGATAATAAAGTCACTGGAAACAATGCAAACATTAAAATACACTGTTTGTATGCAAACCTCTCACTTGAAACTGAGAAGCCTAGTGCAATCTTTCAGCTAGCAGCATAAGTGAGAAAGTCATTATTACAGCTAAGTTATAGATAGAAACATGAAGGGGTGGCCCACAAACCACATCATCACCCACTAGTAACAGGACTGGGACTACACTCCTGTTCTTCTCAACCCAGTGGACTTCTGACTCATGTTCTCATACAGCAGCTATAAGAGTGTTTATAAAAGGTGAGGTTAACAGGACATCAGCAAAACTTTCAAAAACAGCTTAAAACACAGAGAATAAAAAAAATAAATTAAGAAAAGAAGGAACATTTCTGTGTGCAACATCACTACAAACTCAACCTATCACTTCTATATGTAAAACGTACATCTTTTCTGCTAGAGCAATAAGTTTAAAAATACAGAATATTACCAAATCATAGAAGGATTTGGGTCGGAAGGGACCTTTATGATCATCCAGTTCCAATCCCCTGCTATAGGCAGGAACACATCCCTCTAAACCAGGTTGCTCAAAGTCCCCTCCAGCCTGGCCTTGAATGAACATGCTTCAGCATTAGCTAAGGAGGAAACTTGGTAAATATCTGTCTGTGTCTGGGTGCGTCCATGAAGTAAGGAAGACTCTTGTAAACCTATGTTCTGTGGAATGGATCTGTCACATTGTCTGTTACAGGAATGTTCTGTACTGGAGATGAGTGTACTGGGACACTGTATGTTCTTCCACAGTAGAGTTCCAGTTATTTTTTTAGTAGTGAACTGGATTTCCCTAGACCTTCCAATACTGCAAAAGAACTCAAGGAGAAGCACGACAGCATATCTCTAAGAAATTCGAACGAGGAAACAATCAAAATTTAACTTTCAGCTAGGATATAAACCCTTTAGGTTGCATCACTTAAGAAACACAAACAAAGGATATGAAGTTACCATCAAGTGCAGTGGTATTTTAGTTGGTCCTTTGGCAGAGATTTTCTCCCACAGACCCCTTCGCACGTATCGGACAGTAGTGCCTGCGATCTGAAACTCACCAGGAAGCTCAATTTTCCAGTCGCTGTTAATGGATCTCTTACTGGAATCTTTTAAAGCTGGAAAGAATCAGATATCAGGGAATGAAATGAAAGCAAATTGATAATTACAACATAGCCCATTGACTGACTACACCGACTGAGGACTGTGCTTCTTTCTCAGCCCATCTAAGTGCAAGATGCAGCAACTTTGCAAGACACACTAGTTTAAAAAAAAATTAAGTATATTTTTAGCTGACAAATGGTATGGTTACTAATTTGAGTACATTCTGTATGTCATTTGAAGAAGGCATTTCTAAATACATTAATATTGCCATTAGGTCTATGGCAATATCTATACCAATCTATACCAATAATGTCATTTAAACTGATATTGCTAAGGTTTTACTGCTTAAAATCTTTAGTTTCTGCTTTCCAGAGAAGCAAAGTTATCCATCTTCAAAACTGAGGGGGGAAAGAGTGTGCAGCAGCAGTTTGCAAAGGAAAATTAAATAAGGATAATTACCCCATCCTTAGAAAAAAAACACTAATTTGGAACTAAGTCGCACAACTCTTCCACTATTTGATCTGTTTCAGGAGTTTGCCTGAAAAACACATGCATTCATGGCATGTTGTTGAATTTGGTTGCATACACAGTGCAAAGGAAAGTTTGCACAAGTGAGATGCTTTTCTTTAATTTTCAGTGAAGCTTCAATTTTGTTTTAAAAGTATGACTAAAGCACTAGAGCCCTGTATTAACAAGCAAGAACTGCTAAGCAGGAGTGGCTAGGAAAGTGCAGAACTTACTGAGCCATTTGCCATCCCAAGCTAAGCAGAATACAGATTGGGAACAGACAGCATAATTAAAGAAAATTACTTAGAGCTGTAAGTCTTGCTGGAATAATCTCATTATTAGTCAAAAGGTTACACAATTAAGCACAGACGCATATATATAAAATAAATGTGACTGGTGTACCTTATATATTGAAAAATAATACTTAAGTCACTTTACACATTATTCTCAAATCTCATAATTTAATCTTAGAAAAATGGACAGTACCATAAATTTGGACACACAGACCAAATTGCTAGACATGTTAGAAGAAGTGCCTCTGTGCATCAGTAAGGATAAGGAAGGAAGCCCTGTAAGATGATTACCAAAAAGGAAAGATACTTGCAGTGTTGTGCCCTTCCTTCCAGAACAATCTACTGCATCAGCAACAGTGATATTCTCTGAACACTCAAAGGAACTCCAGCCATATGGACATAATCTTACTGTGAGTCGTCAGTGTAAGTTCATTTAGGGATTTCTCTGTTATCTATGTTACAGTGGAAGCAGAGTTATTCAGATGTCTGTGTGATGCACTGAGGAAAGAGAAAATTGGCAGACCATCCTGCAACAGAGAGAGTCCCAATGCCCTTTGTGGAAATCAGCATACTATGATTGAATTTGCTGTGACACCAGATAGAATAGTCTATGTGTTTTTCAGTTACTGGGCTTCCTTAGTTCAAGGTTAACTGTGTCCTTTGGCTAAGCCTTTAAAATGGTGTTTTCTTAACCTCCAGCATTTCAAGCCTATTTTTATTCCCTTCCAGTAAAAAATACAACTTTGGCTTTCATTTTACTGAGTATATTGTCAGGAGGTAAAAGAAGCTGATTTAAAGCCTTTTTAAATGGCAATAGGAAAATCTCCCATTGTCATCCCTTTGGATCAAGTTCCTAAAGCCAGCAAATCCTTCCAGCTGCACATAGGCCACATATAATACACTATTTTGCTTAGAAGACCAGGAGCTGGACTTCCTGTCCAATGCACAACACACCTGAGTTATCAGTTTGGTCTAATCTACAGTGGGGAGTGTCAGTAGTGATACTGGATCATTCTACAAAGACCTTCCTTTTATTCTGGTTGGCCTTTTCTAACATCTTTTATATGGATTCTACAATGAAAACTGCCTTAAGACATGAAGGACCTTCCCTGAACGATGTTTAAGACAATAGAAATCTGTTAGTTTTCCCTGTAAGGGACTTCCTGAAGATTGTTCACCTTGGCTCAAAAGCATGAGTGCCTGGCACCACAGAACCCGGAGAGGCCACCCCAAAAGTACGACTTCAGAATGGGGAAACCATTTCAGCTTATTCATGCTGTTCCAAGTATGGCACACATATATGTTTTCCAGGCACCTGAGCATTGTCATCTGTCCCATCAAAATGATCCCTGACATTTTTGACTTGTAGCCAAGTCAGCTTGATTTCTCCCAAACAACTCCTAGCAAAGGTCAATACTTTCCATAGTCCCTTCCCAACAAGCAGTACACACACAGACCCCTGCTCTGCAGGCTAAGAAATGAGTTTGATGATGTCCTGCTATGCTATGGCAATGCAACTCTCTCTGCAGCTTACTTCTATCCTGCTTTGCTCTCCAATCTATAAAGTGCCTTCTGCAAACTTCAGACAGAATTCCAAAGAAGGATTGTTTTCCTCTGCCAAAGCCTACTGGCTTTCAGGCTGATCAAAGCAGCCATCACACTGGGCTTGAGGAGCTGTGAACATGACAAATCAAAGCTGTGGATAAGATGTAACCATCTCCACTGCAGTATGGCTGACTAGTAAAAATATCACGGCACACACTCACAAGAGCACACAAGAGCTTGAATAACAAACTATGCTTTGGCTCTAGCTCATCAAAGGAAGGCAGCTTGCTGATAAAAAAGAAAAATGTTTAATATTTGTGGATCTCTCTTCTAAGAAAGGCTTGGTTTTGATTGTTGCAGGCACTGTTCCCCAGATGATTGAGTAGAAGGAAACAGCCCAAAAGGTACTTCTTGGGAATTGTAGGAGTTACATAGGAGACTGCACAGAGTATTTGAGCCAGTGTGTTCACTGCTGTTTGTATTCACTCCATGCAGGTGCTCCATCAGTAAGGATCAATTTAGCTATATATAATTGATAGCTATATCAATTCAGGGTACTGCTATTGCTCCGTTGGCTGTTGCCAGAAACAACTACTGCAAGCCCATGTATTGCAAGTCTCTGCCTAGGTACTAATGCACAGTGCTGAATACAACCTTTTACTCTTACTGAATATTTGTATTTCTCCTGGGACTCCATGCCTCAACTAGGGCTGCAAAGCACAGCTCTTTCTCTTCAATGTGGGTGTATTTAGGTGGTAGCAAGCATTCACTCATACACCTCTAAGCTGTTTCCTGGCTCAAAAGCTGTACCACTGAAGATCATGAGAGAAAAAGAACCCCAGCAACAACCCATAACTTCTTTACTTGTTGGCTCAAAAACAAGAACTGACCAATCTATTTCTAAACCTGGCATCTTGTCAGATCTTTATTTCCACTTTGGGTCCCTCCACCTTGCTTCCCAGTCTGTGGACACACACTGCCAAGGCATTTCCTGTTCAAGGTGGTTTCTAAGCATTACAGCCAGCCAAGCCAGCCAGCGTGGGTTGCCTGTAGGTGGAGGGAAATTCTTCAGGCACTGCTCCCAGCACATGGAATAATGATTTCAAATTATGCTGGGCTCAATTCCAAAGCACTGTACCCCGTTCTGAGTTGAAATAGGGTCTGATTCGGCTCAATATTGACAGCATAATCAAAACAGAAAATCCTTCCATGCTCAAACCTGGATTTACTATTCATTCCTAGGCTATTTGAATGACTGGACCTTCGTTTCACTGGTCATCTTTTTTTGGAACCTCTCCTGCTGCTACTCTTCAGCTGAGGTTAGCAAGATATTGCGGATCTTTTCTTTGTGTCCAGTGTTCCAGATAAAACTCTGAAAAGCTCAGATTGGTTCTCCTGACTGAGAACTAAAGAGCAGAAAGCATTCAGAAGCTTTAAATTGATCAGATTACCATTTATTTGATTCAATTCTTGGTCTAAGAACTGTAGAACTTTTATCTGTCTTTATGAGATGCATACAGGGGCCAAGTCCCACTCTCAAATATATACAATCCTAATCTTCACCATCTGATGGAGAAATACCTGCTTAAGTCAAGGTTATGTGGTCACAACGAAGGGCTAGCTCCACATAAGGTTCTCACTGTTGCAGTTATCTGCCAAAGCCCAAACCTCTGACAACCTGCATAAATCCCACAAAGACAAACAAAAAGATTGGCTTCCAGAAGACAGAGTATTTGGAAAGCCCAATGAAACACTGGCACTCATTGTTCCACCAGTGCTTTGCTATGTCAAACATCTTACGTGTAGGCGTAATCCTCTCCCAGCAAGCTGGCTGCAGCATTAGTAGAAATATTAGCAGCAGGAATATATGCTTCCTACCAAGAAGCAGTACAAATGCCAATATTTTGACCCAAGGGCAGTTGAATGACATGATTTGTCCTCTTTCTTTCCTCTGAATCTGAATTGAAGTGAATAAAAGCATCTTCCCTAGTGATTTTGTCAGCTTTGATGGATCTCATGACAGAGAACCAGCAGCCCTGGATCTGAAATCCTAACATACAATCAGTACGTAAATGTTTTTAGCAGCTTTCAATATCCTGCTACTGGATTTTGACATCTCTTGGCTGCAAAGGAGAGGATTATAAACAAAATACATGGAAGTCAGAAACAAAAGGTCCTAGTACAAGCTTTGCTGCTGACACCAACATAGCCATGAGCAAACTTTCCCATTTGTAAAATGGGAGGGCAACAAGCTCTGCGATGCTGTCAGATTTTCTAATAACAGCACCGATCTATCCCTGGAAGGAATTCCATCTTTCAGAATACTTTTCTACCCTAAAACCTCACAGTGTCTCCACTCTAAGCTCACTTTGAGAGAACTAGAACATGCACAAGAAACAGTACTTAATACTTTCCACGCTAAGTGACAGCTGGAACATGCATCTGTTCCAACCACTGCAACAAGAACAACAGGCTGTGGAAGCACTGAAACACTGTTTGATAGGGAAGGCTTTTGTAATGAGCTCATCAAAATCAAGAAGAGCTGAGGTTTGACAATGCAGGTATCTATAAAATGCAAAAATCCACTAAACATAGGAGGAGGTGTGGGAGAAGAAAAGGATAAAAGAAAATTCCAAACATAGCTCCAAAAAGAGCATGAAGAATTTAAGAGAAAGCAGAAACCCCCTACTTAAGCATGGTCGTACAGCTCCAAGTGTGAAAAGGATGTTTCAATGTGTTGTGTGTTCTTCTGTACCTTGGCAACCTTCTTTCAACTCCCTGCTATGAGACAGATTTCCTGTGGGGATTCAAGGTAATAGGGCATTAGCTTACCTATGACTTAGAAGACTTAGTTTCCCTAGAAGTAGATTGGAGATAAAGTACTTCATCTATTACACGTTATCAACATGGAAAGAAACACCACTACCACTGGAGATAGAGGCAGAAGACCAAACTCACAGATGTACAGCTGACTGATTTTACAAATACCCTTCCAATCCTTAATCTGCATGATTAGTAACTGGACAGCTTTACTGATAAACTCTGCTTTAAAACAACCTTATATACAAGTCTGAGCCCTCACTCAGGGTCAGACTTTGTTCCCCAGCAAAAACAGATGATGAAACCTGTTCCTCTCTAGAGGAATGCAGAATGAGATTAAACTTACTGTCAGCTTGAGAAAATAGAGGCAATGGACAAAAGGCTGCAAGTAGCCTACCTCAGAATGCAGAATCAGGTCTTGTACACAGCTGCAGGAAATGGTGCAGGCAACCTCAGGTGCCCTGTCCTGCCTCTGTTCCAGTCTGAGCTAGGAGCCTTCCTGTCTGCATCTCTGCTGCTTGATTCTTAAAATGTACTGTTCTCTTTCCCACTCCTCCACAAAGTGCAATGTGCTCCTAGCAGCCATGTCTATCACAGTGCCAAGTGCTGCATAAAAATCCTTCAGTCTATATAAATGTATTTTCTGGTCCTTCAGGCTGGGAAGCGTCATGCTGTATCATATCAAGCAAATATCATGAAATCAAGATGCAAAAGGAAAGATTGAATCAAGAATGAAACACAGCCACTCAGAGACAACAACAAACCTATTATCTTAAAAGTAATTCAAGAGAAAGGCCATTTTAACAGAGAACAAAGCTGAGTTTGAATCAAAACATTTTTTTTGTCCTTTTACCCAGAAAACTGTGAGCAGGTTTGTCCTCAACCACTCTGATCCGTCGGGCACCTGCAGGGATCACAGCTGCTTCGATGTAACCTACAGCAAGAAAAAGGCAGAAGGATGAGAACACCTCACAGACAGGCAGAAGCATCAATCATTCAGTATCTCACACCATGAAAAAATCAACTCCTGCCCGTGCTGGGGAATGGGTGGGGAAACTTCAAATGAGATTTCTGCTTTGGCAGCCAAGTTTCACTGCTGTGACTTGCATGGCTATGATTAATCATTTTGTCCTGAGAAGAGGGACAGAAATGCACGTATGATGGCTAATTGCAACTTAAGGCTTGTGCTTGGGCCTAATTATGTTTGCACTCTCTGAATCACTCTGGCTCTCCTGCAGTACTGACAGGCATGCATGAAGACTGTTACAGAGCTGATGGAAACTGACACTGTCAGAAGCAACACTCCACATCACAAACCAGATATTTTTAACGTGAAATGAAATTTCAGATGGATGCTCCTGTTGTCTCCTCTTAAAAACAACAGCATCAACAGGAAAAACCCTGCTCAAGGGATCAGTATCTGAGAGAACTCTGTTCCATAAAACATTTGGATGATGCTAAAACTAAACAGAAGGAATCAGTGGGACAACTGGGGAAAAAGAAATTTGTTTTCACTTGCACTTTATGAAAATGTTCTGGAGATTATAATGGTTAATGGGCTCCTTGTACTGGGCTGCTAAACAGAATTCTACAACTCAGATTTAATGCAACAGCAGAACTGGAGGTTAGTCAAGGAGAGACCACCTCTAAATGCTGCCAGCAGAAGCACATGCCAAATTAGACCATCTGACATGGTAGGGAAGTTTTTACAGCACCCCATCATATTTTTATGGAATTCTCTCGGCTTTTATCTTTCTGAAACTCTTGGCCTCTTCATGCTTCATTCAGTAATCAGCAATATGATGTAATTATACTACTTTTCACTAACAGAATAATAGTAAAAATAATAAGGAGCTAGAAAGAAATGTAGCTTATTTTCACCCACCACAGAGTCATGTGGAGTTACGTACTTGTTCCATGGGGTGGAAGTGGTGCCTTTAAACTAAAAAGCTGAGAAACATAAGACCCCGTTTCAATGGCCTGGGAGTCATGGACATATTTTCCACTGGCTTCACTGGACTCTGAATCAGATCCCTGTAAATGACACTAATCTCATCACAACCATGATTTGATTCCTTCTAATTGGCCACCCAGTTGACACTGCAATGTATTTACTTGGCACGTCTTTTGGATTATTGCTCTCCCTTTTCTTTTAAACATTAAGGAGCTTATTCTGCATGTCTTCTTACCTCCTTCCACCCCCCCCCACCCCTTTTTTTTTCTTGGCTTTATACAGGGGTGTATGAAGCTCTCCTGTGTCAGCCCTGCCTTTATGGAAATCAGGACTGGCTAGAGTAATAGGTTGGAGAAGTGGCTCCTCTAATGGCAGTGTTTGGGAAGCTATTTTAGGGACAAGTGCAGTCAGAAGGCCATGCTTCTCCTGCACTGATATGAGAAGCCTTAACGAAGGATGCTGACAACTACATGCATCTCAGAACTAAATCATTCACTTGCCACAATGACATGGAGTGAGGTAGATGGGGATTTTAGATCTCAGACTGCAGATTTGTTTCTATCTCTCTGAACAAGCAGAATGTCCAGCCTCTGTTGTCCTATCAGTAAGGCCTTGGGTTTTGAGGGTCATTGGATGGATAGATGATTTGGGCTAGACTCAGTTCCTCTTTCCCTGATTGTTTTATGTGAATCACACATCATTTGGCCCTTCAGTTCAGTCTTTTTTGCACTTTTTCCTCCTTACTTCTCTCAGGATATCTCAGCAATAGTCAGCCCTTGCAGGAAAAACAGAAAGAGGGACAGCAGAGCTGCAAACCATATCTGGTCAGAGAGGTCAAAGCAGTGGCTTCCCATCTGTGAGTACAGAGTAGGCTTCACTGGGAACAATCTTAACTTCCAGGGTGAGCTCTTAAATGCAATACGGAAATCTGTTATAAAATCAAAGCAAACAGATGTTGGATTTTACTCTAGTTATTTCCAGGAGTTGTTTTTTCATCAGCTGAGATACCAAATTACAGTCAAAGCAGAGTGTTCCAGAGATCAAACATCCCCAGTGCTCCCCATGCATCTGCATATAAACCCGATGGAGAATTACCACCAGACATGAGCACACAGCAAAGACGTGATTCATAATCACAGGAAAATAGGCCCTATGACACATCTGAACACCCCTGTTAGGAAGCCAGTTTGGAACATGCCCAAGTTTCAGGTAATGTAATGTATCTACAAGGGTACTATTTACTTATACTTTAAATTGTTTTCCAGATATGAATGCCTAGAGCCAAATCTTGCAAGGGCTAAATGCAAAGTTACACAGAACATAGTGGAAAGCCTGCCACTGACTTCAGTGAACTCTGGGTCTGTTCCCTGACCTGGTAAAGCCAGACGTGTCACTGCTTTAGGGTGTGAGCAAGCTGTGGAGCCGTGCTTGAAGCTCCACAGTGCCATAAATATACTCTCATTTCATCACTGTGTCACGAGAGAAACACCATGTGAAAAAGCTGACTTTTATGTTACTTTTTACAATGGTAAATAGTGGAATATAAGCTATTAATAGGGTATTAGTTCTGGAAACTGTTTACTTTGGTCTTACACCAGATTTTTCTCCTCATGTAATTTCTTATCCTGACTGATGGCTTTGGAGGGTTGTATTCAACAGCTCCTGAATAAGAAGAAACATACTGTGTTAACTCACTGAGATCATGGGGCAGAAATCTGACTGCCGACTCTTACTTTTCCTTTAGTGAAATGTGAACCAATTTGCAATTGTATGAATCTGATGAGTTCTTACAGAGATGAAGCAGAATTCTTGGGCATGTACCAAAAGAAGAATCTTGACACTTTCAGTCATTACTTTTAGTAACATTGTGAGTTAGGGGTCAAATCTTATTGCAAATATACTATATACCATCCATGCAAATTCATCCCAGCTACAAGTTCAGATCACTTCCACCGTTTCAATCTGAACCTCAGAGCTATAGTGACACTGCTGGTCACATAATAATCCAGGTCTCTGAGATAACTGCACCAGAAAACAACTCCATTGTTTTCCAGACACATATTACTAAGCAAACTATCACTGCAGATTGCCAGAAAGATTATCAAGTGTTAGCTAGTAAGACAAAAAAGTCTCAAGAGTTGGCTTAGAGTCAAGGAGTCTTGAAGATCTGTTAGGATAATTGTCTGCAATGCCAAAGTTTGCAAGGTTGGGCTTAAAGTTCTTTAAATGAGGAATTGGTTAAAGACTGATGAGATTTGGCAACTATCAGGCAATATTTCTAGTAATTTCACCCATAAATCAGCCTGTTAAGATGAAGCTTTGAAAGTACAACAGGAGAACTTCATTATTTGATAATTTATAGTGCTGTATGCAGTATATTCCACCTTGGGAACAGTTACTTTGGCACACACCAATCTTTCTGGACAATCTGCATTACATCAGTGTCTCAGGAATTTAAGACCGTGATTGAAGCAAATCCTAGATACAAATTACATGGTGTAACTCGTATTAGGAGAGACACCAGAACAAAGAGGTGGCTTTGTCATCAAGGAGATTAATATGTGAACAGTGGCTACTGTATCTTCATTTAAATGCTGGAGAGATTTGCAAGAGGAAAGCAGTTCACACAGGGAAATCCATTGTTAGCCACTGTTATTATTCCCAGAATGAAGAAAAAGTTTAGTATGAACTTCAGAACATCACTGATCTACTGCAAAACTAGTTTCCCGTTGACATGTCACAAAAAGACAGACTTCTGAAGTAAAGGAGAAATTATCCCATGGCTGAAAGTACTGATCTCCAGGCATTGTACCTTCATATCTTATCCCTGTACACACGTGACGACTACGTATGAGAAAACCAACTGTTCTCTGCCCATTATCAAATATCATGAAAGTACTTAGAACAAAGATCTCAGGGAGGAAGCCACGGAAATTGAACTTCACTGTCTACCTGCTGGTCATGGTCAGCAGAGCTCCCCCAGTATTTTAGGGATGAGTACCAGCTATGCGTTTTAGTTTCCATTGCCCTTCCCACCTTGCACATTTTACTGAGTGGTAGTTTTTGCAGTGGTGTGCAAATATGTCCAGTGCTAACCGTACATTCATTTTCTGAGCAGCTGTGATGATTCTCTCCTGCTATTATCTTGAGAGTAATTCCTTCATCAGCGCCTGTCCACTTCCAGCCATGGGATAGCTTGTTTGGATGAAAATAATTTCATCGGGGAGCCATGGATAGACTTCAAAGCCTCCTACCATTACTTCAGCATTGGCTGCTAGAATTTAACTTGCATGTTCAGCTTAAACTCTTGTAAGAAACCCCAAGGGTTACTGCTGGGGCACTATTTTTCTCATCATTTTGAAGTTTATCCTATTGAAAAGAAAATAAATTCTTGCATTATATAAAGCTACAAGCCGGCACTACAGCACAACTGTCCAAATTTCCTTTCTTTCCTTTAAATGTGTGCTGGAAAAATAAAGTACAAAATAAAAGGCCTGCTTTTTCATTATCATAAAATAGAAATTGCTAGCAAAGATGCACTAGTCATCTCTTCAATTAAATGATACAATTGGCATGTATCATAACATTATGCTTCGTAATTAAAAAGAAAATATCCAAATAACTAGAGTCATTCCTTAGGATCACAAGCAAAGGGTTCCAATCTTGATGTGCCTGAGAAAAAAATCAGCAGAAACAGATGCAAGGGAGTCTGTAAGACAGATCAGCCACCTAACAAACACGAGACAAAGAACTGACCTCTAGTTCTAGGTCCCTTTTACAGGGACAGAGATGCACTTGAGAACAAATCTGTCTGTATTATTATCTAATAGTTATCTCATAGAATTAGGTGCAGGGAATGGTGCCAGACAGAAGTGAATCTCTGTTCAAAACAGTGCATTCCGCTGCCCTACTGAAGACAGCCAGGTGCACTGCAGTGTATGTGACATTTAGCATCACAAATACAGGCTTTTGATCTCTTACCCAAGAAAGAAGTGGAATCCATTTACAGTTGGATCACTCTGAAACACGGGCAATAAGTTTTGTACTGCTGGACCTCCTGTGAGGCATTTTGAATGTTCCACTATAATGTTCTACTGGGATAGCAAAATCTTATAAAATATGGGACAGTAAGGTAGTAAAAATAAATAAAAACGTGGCTCAGTATTTGTCACTTCATTAATGAAAAAAATCTCATACAGGTAGATTTGCTAAAAGGGAACAAGCTGTGGTTAGTATCTTTAAAAAACAAACCAACTGGTAAAAGGTCTTGAAGTTTATCCATGGCTTTTGATACCAATCTCCCCATTTAATTCAACCAAAAGACGACAAAGGACCAACACCAAAGGATGTCACCAACACCCACTGACACTGCAAACAGCATTCAAGAATCTTACACGAGAAACACTTGGGAACAGACTTTGCCTTTGCCATCACACATGTGGAAACCTTCTTACAATGACTATTGGTTACTAAGAAACAGAAATGAGTTGGCATGGGTTTAGTTCAGTTAACAGGGTTTGAAAACATAATTTGCAATCACAGGAAACATAGGGACCAACCCTACAGTCAGTGGAGTTCCACACGTACAGCTGCTGAGGATATGGTTGAAGGTAGCAGCTGCAATTCACAAAACAGATACCACTCCAAAACAATCAGTATATTGATATTTGAAGGTTATTCTCTTCCTAAATACTAAAGTAGCATACTTCACACAGTGTGTTGGCCTTCACTTGGACAGCAGCAAGCTTATGGGCATTTGTCACTGACCTGTGCAATCATTTGCAAATTTGAAACCTGAATTCATATTGTGTATCCTTGTTCGACCAAAAGAACATCAGACTTTTTTGTACATATTTGCTGAAGTGCTGATTTAAAGAAAAATATCATTTTTTTGTTCAGGCATGATGCCTTAGATCTAACACTGCTTACTGCATGGGATTCAGTAAGTTAATCTGAGGACCTGATTCTGCAAAACATTAATTTACAAATATAAATTTATGGAAATAACTTACAGTGCATAAAATGCTTGCAGAGTTGGGGCTGGGAATTGTAAGTGAAAATCTATTTTCGGTATTTAACATAGAAGAAACCCCACAGCAGGAAAACAATAACTGACTAATTAAAAAAGTGTAAATGGTTGTTTTCTTTTACAAAATAAAAAGCAAAGATGATTCCCAATCTAGAAAACTTTTTGGCACTTTATGGATGGATTTTAAAGCTCTTCCCACAAAGCAATGTAATTTTTACAACTGAAATGAGAAAATTCTTCAGTAATTTCCATCAAATGCAAATGCTTTGACAAAAGGTGAAAAAAGGTGAAAAATAACTTGTTCAAAAGAGTCAATGGCAATAATTCAGAAAATCATTCAGCAGGTTGGCCTAGCAATGCAACAACACAAGTGTGCTCCAGAAACACATGGCAGAGGTGGGAAATCCTACCTGCACCTCACAAATGAGGAACAGGGGACAGAGGAAAATGTCAGTGTTCAAAATTAGAGACTCAGAACTCAGTGCTGAGACCTTGATTCAGGGAAGCTACTAAGCACTTACGCTGCTTCAGTAATTTAACAGAATTGAAGCGTGTGCTTAAGTGAAATTTATTTCTAAGTGCTTTACTGTGCTGTCCTGGAGTAGCACATTTTGAATGTATTTTTACATAGAAAAATGGCAATTCTGCATTTACTGAATGTGAAATCACTTTTTCTGGACAATTCCTTCCTACTGAAGGAGCTTGCAAGTCCTGAGCCTGACTTTCCCTCCCTTTGCCTGATAAGGTTGAGTGATAACACATTTCTTAGAAGTGCAGAAAAGAAACTCTGGAACAAAGACTAATTCAGACACCAAGCTGTATATACATTAACGTTTAACAAGAGAGGGGAAAGTCTTCAGTCTGACCAGAAGCTCTTTTATCTTACACTGGATGCTGTTGCTGGCAGGGTTTCAGTAATAATATTCAGAGGGGAGGTCTTTTTTATTTAGCTGAGATATACTGATTATAGAATAAATCATTGTAGCATACAATGAGCATCATTCAGAGCTCCCAAAGAGCTCAAAGATGGTGCTGAAATCAGACTTCCCTCCACTGGAGAATATACTATGATTTTATCTGTTATTTAAAAATCAACAGCCCCAGTAGTATTCAAAATGAGAAATACAACTTCATTCTGAATTTCAGACAGAGGAAATGGCTGGTATCTGGTATCTGTACAACTGAATAAGAAGCAGACAGAGAGAGTATCATCACTGAACTGAGTGCTTGGTGTTCCTAGCTAGATTTTGTTGTTCTAAATGAAAAACATTTTGGAAACCGCACAACTCCATCATGTCTGATCCTGACTAGTTCTCAGCAATCCCAACTCACCATCTAAAAAGAGGCTCAGCAAATCATAAGACTGAATCCTGACCATCTATCCTTGTATACTTAGTTCCTCATAAGCAGGACTAGGGACAAGCCAATATTCTCATTCTTGCATGTCTTTTTAGTGGTTCCTCATCACACACTTTTACAGAACATTTTCTGGCAGCACAACTGGTTGAAAGTGAGAAAATTCAGAGAACACAGGAGAGTTAGATCCCTACATACTGTCTGCAAGAGTAGGATGTCATGAACATTACTAAGTTTTTGTGTTCTCGTACATAAAAAACCCCATGCAATTTTAGAGAACAGTTGCCTCTTCTATCTTGTATTAAATGCTATCCTAGAAGAGCTATTATTGCCTCTCTTTAACTCTCCTCAATCAGTTAAGAGAACCTGCACTCTACTGAAATGCTGCTGAGGGTTACTCACCCATGCCCTTCGTGTGGTTGAAGTCGCCTTTCACCACTTTACAGGTTTTGCCATCACCACTGCAGATTCCACAGCGATCCTCTTTGGCAGCTGAGCCAATGATTCCATCGCAGCCAATTTTCTAATGACAACAATCAGAGATCCCCATTATTTTGCTTGCAAGGTTAAAGTATCTCTAAACATTGATGTGAAGACGAAGACAGACACCTGACTGATAATATGGACAGGAAGAGAATGCTGTGAATCAACTGAGCACTCATTTGGAACAGCGTTGAGTTGGTAATTTAGCAAGCTCCTTCCCTAACACTAGGAGCATGTATTTTGATTCACAAGACATTACTAAAGAGACTTTCCACAAACACTAGCACTTATATATTTCACACTAACCTACTCTAACTTGCTTCAAAAACATGAAAGATTACAATGATGCTCCATGTTTGTATAGCAATTTCTATGTGAGGAACTAAAAGCATCCCAGAGATAAGGACCACTACTTTGATACTTAGCTTAGAGAAAAACATGACTCACTTACATGGAAGTTAACCCAAGTAACCGAAATCTTGGTGCTAGATCTTCACCTCACAAAATTTTAGAGTGCCATTATAAGTTTCAGTGTGCTCAGACTCGATTGCACATCTGCACTACCTGAAAAAAGGTCTCACCAATCAAACAGCTCAAGGTACCCGCAATGCAAAATCACTTCAGTGGAAGCAAGGCAGGTTTCTATATGGCTAGTAGGTACCACATGATTTCTTATGCAATTACTAATATTCCCAGATGCTTGTACTGTCTGTACTGATCTTTGACATTCCTTTGTTAAAAAAAAAAAAAAAGTAAATGATTCCACCTAAAACTTCATTTCAAGTGGTATTTTCATACTTTTCTATTTCTACCGAAACAGTTACCAACAAAAATCTCTGAAGCAGCCTTGCTTCACAGACAGGTATTACCTGAACAGTCACAGTATTCCCCCTGGGGCTACAAAGATTGCCACAGTAAGCTTATTTACTCACAAACCATTGAAAGGTTGTGATAGTGACTACTGCACATTTGTAGATCTAGAAGGCAATAAGATTAAATTACAGACATCATATTAACATCATGATTAGTCTGTGTGAATTGTGTTTCACAGAATCACAGAATCACAGAATTACAGAATTGCCAGGGTTGGAAGGGACCTCAAGGATCATGAATCTCCAACCCCCCTGCCACATGCAGGGCCACCACCATTCCACCTAATGCTAGACCAGACTGCCCAGGGCCCCATCCAATCTGGCTTTGAACACCTCCAGGGACGGGGCATCCACAACCTCCCTGGGCAGCCTGTTCCAGTACCTCACCACTCTCTCCGTAAAGAATTTCCCCCTGACATCCAACCTATATCTCCCTTCCCTCAGCTTAAAACCATTTCCCCTTGTCCTGCTGTCACTCACCCTTTCAAAGAGTTGATTCCCCTCCTCTTTGTAGGCTATCCTTGTAAGTCTCAGAATCATCAGTAATTCACTCAATACATGAACTTTTACTGACATAAGAGTTCTAATTATGCAAGTTATTAGCAGAGATTCTACTATAAGGTGAAAATTCATTCTTTGTAGACAAACAGTTCCTTGACAAATGAGTTAGCAGAATTGTCATTAACAACCCTTATTTGAACAAGGCTGTCATGTCTCTCCCTTCCTTATCTTATAATAAAACCAGTTGGAGAGAGATCTCAGGGAACACCCACAGCATAACCAACGTTTTGAAAAACAGGGTAAGCAGAGAAACACTAAGAGAACTCCAGATGTTTGTTTTTTTCTTTCTTTCTTTTGAGGCTGCCTGCACGTAAGCAAAGTGATTTGGACCTGAACTAAAACATTCTCCATATTTCAGAAGTCATGGGCCACTGCCTAAGTCCAGATGTATTTCGGGGATCAAAGATGGCCAGCATTCAGACACAATCTGATGCACTGTTTGTCAACACAAATCATTACATACAGATAAAAGCTCAGAAAGGATCATCATTCTTACATACATAAACATACACAAGCTCATACAAGCTCATTAAGTAGAACACGTAAGTTGTTGGACAAGGACTACAGAAAACCTTGTGTAAGTGGGCATTAAGTCAAGTTGAAGATGATGACTGAGCAGTTCCAGTTCTTAGGGCAGTTCTTCACACCCATGTCCAACAAATAATTGTAGGATATTGAATATGATTCTGCCCCAAAACAGAAGGATGTCCCAGCTGTTCTCCTTCCAGGAAAATAAGTATGATTTATTAATGGGCTTGCTGAAAGGCAGCTGGAAATACATGCCTGACTGCCACCCTGCTGAGATACTGGAAAGGCTGTGTTTAATTTAAGGCTCTTGTGCTATCTTTTATTGTACTGCATTGTTATTAGCACTATGTGAGCACACAAATGAATAAAAGGAATATAATGAGTGTTGAACCGCACTTATTCCCAGTTCTACAGGAGGAGTCTATAGGACTGTAATGGAGGCATGCAGAGAATAGGGAGTCAGCAACCACATGCTTTGCATTTATGCTGCAGCTTCCTGGTTAACATAAACTACTGCAAGCCTCTGAAAGAGCAAGACCCCTTATTTTGACACTGGGGCTCAAGATAAGCCTTTTCTTTCCACATAAGTCACTGACACACTTTGAGAGATCCTCTCTGAGGACAGGGAAAGCACTGAATCCACACTACCTGGGAGGGAAGCATCTGACAGCAGTCCTTGGTTATTTCTCTTGAGAGAGATGTCCAGCCTCTCTCTAGGCGAGAAAGTTGCTGACACTCCAGCTCTAGGGGCCAGAGGCTAAAGCCTGAGCCCCACCAGACCTGGGAGAGGATCTCTCAAGTCTGTACATTATCAGCTTTTCACTGAGATTACACTACATGCTGTATGTATTACATGGTTAATCATTTAAATGGATATAGACTTTCTCAATCTGCAGGTTTTCAAAAATGTGAGGGATTAATAAACAGCATGAAAAGGGCAAGTTACACTGCTGGAAACTCAAGTGTTCATAGTGCAGAAACTATGCCTTGAATCCTAAGTAGTTCGTGCTAGATCTTTATCACCTCTAACTGCTTGCTGTTCAGTCCAGCATACTCAACAAGGTAAGGTGATTTTTTTTTTTTATTTTTTTTTTTTTAAATAAGAAGCAGAAGAGCAGAAAGGGGAAACTTTACACCCTGAGGAAAAACAGACCTTGCAAATAGCATCTGGTGTGCTTTCAGACCCAAGAGTTATCCTGCAGGTTAGCAGATCGAATCCATGAACAAGTATACCCAGCACTGGTTGGATACTTCCAGTTTCAGCAGCCTTAAATAGACTGGTAAGAAGAGAAGCATTTTTCTTTTTCTACCAAGATGATCCATTCAGGAATGAGCAGGGGACTTGGAGCTCTACTATATTCAAAAGGAAGAATGAAAGATGAACAGCTAGCCTGGTATAGCCACCATTTGCTACTAGGAGTTTGTGTGGGTACCCACCATGGCCAGCCACGTCCTTGGACTCACAAAATTTTCTGTACTGTCCAACATGGACTTGGACAGTGACATCCTTAACTTCAGCAAAGGTGAAGATGCTGGTATCACCTAAGAGTTCTAGTTCCTGCCTGTGCTAGCTGTTGAAAGTGCTGTAGCACTGCTAAAATCAGCATTAGACAAAGAGGAAACAGATTTTAAACCAAAGCCAACCCCTTGCCCATATTAAAATATGAAGTGCTGGCAGAAAATTTCAAGATAGATTTTTCAGGCTTCAACTACTTAGCACTGACAGTGATAACTGTATCCACAGATTTCTTAAGGATTTTCAACCCAGGCAGTCTCCTACTCTGACATCATGTTTTGTGACTATTGACTGACCTTTAAATTGGCAGGTAATTGCATGTTCACTGAGCCAAAAGCCTGAAATTCATTCTCTCTGAGATGATACCTCAGTCCACCCTTCCTTCTCTCCCTTCCCCTTCTTATTTTTGTAATTAAACATCTGAAAATACTGCTTGTTGGGTGGTATTTCCAGCTTCAGTCATTGCTGGCTCCAGCATAGGAAAACTCCTCCTCTTGAACGCACATCATCTGGGCTCTTCTGTGTGAACTATTTTCTGTACTGCTTGGATATTTTAATGATATTTTTATTTGTATTGTGAATGGCTGTGCAAAAACTCAATTGATACAGCCTGTGTGAATATGTTTTGCTACATAAACACAATTATTTTTGTTATATACACCCACCCTCTGTAAGAAATGACATTGTAGGCTCACAAAACTGTAATGCTTCCCATATGCTGAACTAGCTAGCTGCCTCAATGGATCAAATATAAATATTGATGCAACATGTGCCATTTTACAAATTAATCATGTACAGAGCATGGTGGTTATGACAGATTCATCTGCACTGCCAACTTTTTGTCCAGAGTATCCAGTGTCTATTGATACCTCAAGGGATGGACTACATGAAACAGGAATGTACATATCTGAGCAACTATATTCAGATTTCAAGGTAAGAGAGAATTTTTTGTTTCTTTGTTTTAAACATCATTTGTGGAGAATTTATGGGTATCTGTCAGGATTTGTACAAGAGAGTGAGCATAGAACCCTAGTAAAGCAGTTCATCTCTAAATTGCTTCTCTTTCTGTTTCACAACAGATTTTGTGTTACAGACTGGAGCCTATACAAAAAGTTAGTTTTGAAAACATTGTCCTGGATTTTATCTGAATCAGAGCAGTGCTTCTAGAACAGGAGATATGCACTACTTATTTTATGCTGTTATCTTATCCACATTAGACACACAGTGATGCCCACTGAGTTTGTGCTTAGATCTCTTAGCAGTTCATGATAATGCTACACAAAGTTATTCCTGATAACTACTTTTCCACATACAAAGCTTGAAGGCTTATATGTCAATAATCCCTGTGTTTTGGCATCAAAGCAGACTACATGAGTGAGCATAAAAGTAATACAAAGCACTTTCCTGCCCAGAGAATTTTCCCATCCCAGGAACTATTTCGCTTCTGGTTTTTGGCCATTTTCTGTAGCAATCCTTTTCTGATCCTTCTACATCAGGTTCATCTGAATGGACGCCTCAAACCTGAATCTACCTCCCCTCTGCCCTGGTTTGTACAAATATCAACAGGCTGCAAATACCAAAGGATTTTACATCAACCACTCATTCTTTAAAAGCGGCATCTATCATGTCAGTTCTGAATGAGAAAATAATATATATTTAGCAATGTATGATACATACAGCCTCCTTTCTGTTCAATTCTTGACTGCTAAAGCTACAAGAACAAAGTCAAGTCTCCAAGGTATTTAACAATGAATTGGCTATTATACGGTCTGCATGGGATAACACAGAAGAAAAAGAGTGGGAAAACAGCATGGTTTTTCATATCCCCCTGTAAAGTACATGAAAAACTAGCAAAGTAGAAGATAACATTTTGTTGCTGTGCCCTACTCACCAAACCCTCAGCAGTCTTTCTACGATTACACTGGTATAGATATAGGAACTGAGAAAAAAGCAATTATACAGTAGGTATCTATAGCTCAAATAATCCCTTCCTACACTTTGTGAGCAATACCAAATGATTTATCGAAGTACAACACAGAGCCAAGCTGTATGAAGACAAGCTACTCAGTCTGGAACATCTTGTACCACAGTTCATAATGCAGGAATATGAATAATACATGGAAAATCATCAGATGAGGAGGCAAAGCCAGAACTGCATGCATCAATCAAATGCAGAACATGGGTACTAAGTATGTTGGAAAAGCATTTGCCAACAATAGGTCCAGCAGACAACTGCAATTTATCCTCTGCCACTTGTGGCCCTCTCCTGACACTCTGTCCACCCAATCTGCAAAGACTGCAAAAAACGTGTCCATTTTCAAATTTATGCTCGTCTTTCAGACTGCATTACAGTCACTTTTGGAAGACAGTCATTCTATAGCATTTTTACTGTGCCAGAACAGCCTAATGTGTAGCTTGTCAACATTAAATGGACTGTAGATTCACTAGCAAGCTAAAAGTAGCCATGACATAGCAAAACATTAATGAGAAAACTCTAGAGAGAGTCAAAACATCTTCACCTTTTATGTTATTAAATCACAAAGACTGCCTTTGATCTCTAGCCAGATTCTGCTGTACAAGACCTCAGATTACATCCTGAAGCACAATCTGTAGTCTCCACTGGAAAGTTCTTATGCTATCATGAGTCTCTGAATAATCCTTTGAAAACAGCCAGCACAAAGTCATGTGCATCACAACAGCAGTCTTTGCAACACTTTTTAGTGGCATCTAACACCTTTTTTTTAGCTCTATTTCAGTCAGCAGCTTGCTTCTAGCATAAGCAGCATAACAGAATGAAGAGAGCACACAGTTTCCATGAATGCTGTCTCATGAAATGTGCACTGAATAGCCTGGAGGAAAAAAACAAAAACCCCAGGAAATCTCTCTGAAAGCCACTTGGAGAAAAACAGGAGAAGATAAAAGCAATCTGGGGTGCAGTTTGGACTGCATTACCTTATCTTCACCAACACTGTAATGTCCATACTAGAGAAAGAAAACCATGAAAGACCGCAAGAGAGAGAGACTACAGAGTTCTCCAACCTGTTACAGATCTTCCAACTCCAGGAGAAAATAAATTCTCCTTGCTAGAAGGCAGTGTGCATTTCAGAAAGAAAAGATCAAAAACCTATACTAACACTGCATTGTGTACCAGAAGATAAGTGCATTTACTTCTACTCAGCAGTATCTCTTCTAATGGCATAACCTTATAAGACTATCCTCAATTTTTTCATACCAACTCCTGAAGCTCTTACACAGCTTTTATCTTGTCTTCATGCTGGCACACTTCTACAACTATCACGAACAAAATGCTCATCCTGAAAGGCAACTCTAATAAACAAAGACAGGATAAAACTGAATAAGGAGCTCAGGATTTATCTCAAAGACAAAGAGCAAAATTATAGAAAAATAGAGGTGACTTAGGAATTTCTGTGCTAAATTTAGGGCTGACTTTGCTCTGTTCTATTGCCTCTCTGAATGACCATAGTATTAATCAGGTTTACTCAATCCAGCTGCCTTCAGGTGTAAGTGGTAAATATTGCTGCTTACCATGATTTTGCTTCAGAGACAGTGTGGCTTACACAAAAAAATTTAATTCACACTGTTTAGACTGGAGCTCAGCTCACGGCTTTAAAATGAAGCTGTAAGAAGTTCATAACATACAATGAAAGAAAGACTCTGCACCCTTTAATGTGCAACTCCAGTTAGGGTATGTTGAGGATCAAAGATCCTGTTCCTGCTTCCCTTCTCAAAACCCTACTCTCCTTGAAAGAATAGATGAACATAGCAAAGACAAACTGAATTCCTTTTTCCATCAACAATGCATGTAGGAGCAAACACTGCTAAAGGGAAGAGAGCTATTGCATTGCCAGGCCATTCTATGATTCTATGATTCACAAGCAATGGATACTGCTAATAAGCCTGTTACTCTGGCAATGTATCATTCCTGCCTTTGAGAGCCTCTAACTGCACAAGATTACACAAGAAAATAAATAACAGCAATACCACCCTCTGATTTCAGCACTTATTCTGTATTCCAGACCTCCTGCCATGCTTGTTGCAAGGCTTTGTCTACATTGGGGAAAAAAACAAGAGTAATTAAATGAATATGATGATTAAATTCATTTAATAGACAGCTAGTTTGACAAGCATCTATGGCAAATGAGGTACATAGTCACACATGGTGATTCTCAGCACTAGACTGCATATAAGGCAGAAGATTATTATAAATGACTTCATAAGACTTTCAAAACTACTCGGCTTGAATTGATCGTTTTGCATTTTCTCCCAGCCAGATGCAAATGGACTGAATGTTCTGCAGCTGTCATCACCTCTCGGAACAGTTAAAGGCAGTTGCCCCCAAGTTAAGAGCACAATTTGCTTTCCGTGATGTACCTCCAAAGTTCTGGGCTCATAAAGGTTTTCATTTGGAGGGGAGCTGGCTACTGCTGTTCACTGGAAGAAGAAAATATACATTGCCATAATGTCTGATTTACCATTTGTGGCTGATCTGAACATTTGGAGCAGTAAAGCTGGCCAGCCCAGCATAATGGTCAATGGCACACAGCTGGAGGTGCACAGCTGGCCTTACTATAAAAGATTATTAATGGATTTTTCAGGTTTTTTTTTTTTTTTAAGATACAGCTGAAAACAGGGAAAAATTAAGTAACTTGGGATGCACCATGAACCTGGCTCTGTGCAAGGCATTTTTTATTAAAGAACATTTAAAGAATCAAACCTATGCTGGCTCCCCAACAACTTGCTGTTGTTCTGATTCTTCATCTGAATAAATTATAAGCGCTGAATTAAACATGCCCCTTCAGCAGCTATGTTGGCAGGAAACAGTGGGAAGTGTCTATTTCAGCAGTGCAAAACTCAATCCAGACAAAGCCTTTTCACTTACTTCGTCACATTACTATTAGTAAGACTGCATTATGTCCCCGAGGCCTCTCTCATACCCATGTCAATATTATGTTCATCTACAGCCTACTAGCAATAGAACAACTAGTTCTTAATCACTGCTCACAGAAATCAAGAATTTGGACAGAGCCCTCTTTATTTCCACTCCCATCTGACCAGAGATAAAAGGAGATTAGCATCCTCAGGATTTGGCCAATCCATGCAGGTACTAACATTTCATAGAGGACAGCAGAAGGAGGTCTATCCTACCATCTTCCACATTTGCTCTCTCTGCGACCTGAGCATGAGACAACACAGATGAGAGGCAAAAAAAAAACCAAAAAAAACAAAAACAAAAACCTGGTCATGCTCCAGACTGCTGGATCTGTTCTTGTAAACCTAATCCCGTCTATTGCTTGGAGCTTTATACCTGAGTTTGTAAGAGGAAGGGAACTTTTTTCTTACTGCAGAGGAAACAGGCCTTTCAAACATTTTTGGTGGGCACCAAGGTCAGAAAATCACCCTGGCACTATCTAGTAATAAAATGAAAAATCACATGGATATAGGATGCACAGAGGAAGCCCCAGGTTTATGCAGCTCCAAGAGCCAAAAAGCAAGTAATATCAAAAAGCTTCTTCAGTATTTCTACACAGGCCCCAGACAGAGATGAAAAGCATCATAATGCTGTTAACACAACACTTACAACAGGATAGTAATGACTTTCACTCCTATTTTCAGCATCAGTATTTTTTCAGCAATTCCTCAAATAGCAGAAATGGAGAAGTTAAGCACAGATTTCCACTCCCATCTTCTTCTCTCACAGAAGCCCCTTCCCACCCAAGCCATCTGATGACTACACATGAGCAAATATGATCATTGAATGTTCCCAGCTGTTCAGTAATATTTTCATACCACAGGCATTTATCACAATGCTCCATAAAAGACAGAGTTACAGAGCACTTGCAGTGGGTATTACAAAACAGGGTCACTCTCTCACCTCAGAGAGGGCTGCCCAGCCACTCACACAGATATCTGCTCTTCTAGGACATATATAGCTACCCCAGATTATACATAATATTAAAAACAAAATGAGAAAGCTACTCCACCTGGCACTTGCCATGTACACAGAGGTCAGTCTCATAAGGCCCACATGGAGTACCATCAAGGACTCTATCTGTCACCAGCACAGGGGAATCCTTCCCCAGTGGAGAGCAGAAAAGCTCACATGGTTTATCTGGAAAAAAAGAATACATGTGTCTTTATGAGCAGCACAAACAAATGTGTGAGGCAACAGCAACTAAGCAATGGAATGCTCTCTACATGAATCTCTACATGAATATTTGCCTGCTCATACTGGGTATCTAGTTCAAGTACCTTCTCTTCCAAGGTGTATAAAGGACTGACAGTTTCTGTTAAGAAAGCTTGAGGAACAGCATGGCAGCAACAAGTAATTGCAATTCATCTTTCAGATGCAGCTAAGGGGAACATTCTACAGCTTTCTTACAGGAAACTGGGGGTATAGCAGATGAAATCAAGGTAGATTAATAAGTGGCAGTGGAAGGACAGCAAGAAAATGCAGAGGAAGCTGAAAAACCTACCATCAACGACAACAGCTGTCAGGAGGCTTTTTTTCTTATTGGTGTATCTGTCATGGGCCTGGCACTGCTGGTCTCTGAAGCTTGGCACACCTTTGGGGCAGGGCAAGTTCTCACACACGGTGTGCTCCACACTGGCTCCACGGCAGTTCTTTCCACCTGGCCCTGGGCTATTGCACATAAGAAAAGCCAGGGTCAACAGGAATAGCAAAACTACATGCAGGCATATCTTTATTTAAGCTTTTCTGTCCAAGCCAACTACTGAAATGTCTGAAAGGAAGGATCCTTTCTGCTATTTCTTCCTGGAGAGCAAATCTTGATCTCAGTGGCTCTGACAGAAATATTCAAACTCCATGGTGGATACATAAATTGGCTTATCAGAAGAGATGCTCTGGAGTGCTTCAGAAGCATGTTCTTTTTTGAGGTAGTGTCCGTGTCCATACACACATAAGTAGATGTCTGACTGCACATTGCACACTTTTGATAGGAGCTAATTTAACCACTAAATAGCCCTTCTTAAAAGATATGGAGTGTTCAATTTTTTGTATTCTGGTCATGAACCTCAGACACCTTTAACGAGAGACACAGCAAATGTCTCTGCAGCACATCCTCTAAGGTTCTTTTTTCAGCAACATGAAAACAAAATATTACAGAAAAAGCTACAAATTGTAGCATAAGTACGGGTTTTCAGAAACAAATCTGTGCAGTGGACAGTCTCCATCCTTGAAAACCATGCCATTTTACATATCTCTTTTTAAGCATGCAGAAAAGGTGACTAATCCAGCAAATCCAGCATCAGGATTAAGCATCTGCAAATTTTTTTTTTTTAATATATTTATAATTCCCAGAGAATGAAAACTAAAACTCTTGACAAATGCCTATATTTTGCTTCTTTACAAACAAAACAAAAAGAAACCAATCAACCAAAAAAACCCCCAAAAACTCAACAAGCAAAAGCCAACCTAAGTGATCACAATTTTTGTAGCTACTTGCTGATTCTATCTATATACTTATATAATACTCTATATAATTCTATCTATAACATATCTATCTTTTAGTTGTGATCAGAATGGATGGATAAAGTCATGTCCTTGCTTTTTTAACACAGATGCTATGAAAAGCAAATCCAGCCAAATTCCAGTTGTTAGCACTACAGAGATTCATTCCAAAGGCTTCTTCTCCCCTCCCTCCCAGAAGAGGGATGAACATCAGGTTATATCACACTGCTAGTAAGAAACCAGGGCCCTGACTGAATAGCATTTGCTTGTGTCATTAGTCCCAGTAAGAGTTGCCCTGTTCATTTACACACTGCAGTACAGCCCCAAGTCCTCACAGTATGGGCTGCAGCAGTGGCTGGGATTATCAACAAACAGTCTAATTCAAGGCCATCCTGATACATGCCTGAAACACTGACTCAGATTTCCTGGTAGAAAACTTCACAGCCATCGTCCACCATTCCACCATGTTTCTGCCAGAAAATCTACCCACTAATGAACTGAAGAGATCATTTATAAAGCCCTGAGTCTTCTATACGACAACGGAGCATGGGAGAAGGGATGGGGATCTCATTATCCTGTTATGCTTAAGTCTGTGTTTTTTTCTTCAGTCCCACTGTATGAAAATAATCCAAAGCCTGAACAAGAACACAAGGCAGTATAGCTCAAAAGTTTGCATGTGCAAACTGGCTAATGACACACTGCTTTACAATCATTTGGAGGCAATGCATGCAAGTACTGACAGAAATTACAGAGAGGAAAAACCAAATCAAACAGTGAAGCAACTGGTTTAAAAATACTGATAGTCCCACAGGCTCAGAAGTCAGCTGGCAGGAATACAGATTCCAGCAAAGAAAAAAAATTGAAGACCAAATACATATAAAATAAAAGATAAATCCCTTAGCCAATACTTTTGGACAGTGAATAAACCAGCTGCAGAAGATGTGGGCTGATGCCAGGAATATGAAGCAAAAGAAGATCACGTGTGTATCCCCAGCCAAGAATGTATATGAGCAAGAGAATTTTAAAATCAGTGTGCAATCTTGGAGGGAGCATTTCCTGTAATTTAAGGAACGATGATGAATGAATTTAGGTTTGGTCAGTACTGTGGTTAAAGAGACTTTTTGTAGCTGACAGCAAAGAAATCAGCGAAGTCCCTTGTTCAGGAAAACAAGCTAGTAAAAATCAAGTCTGGACATTACAGACATGCAGTTGTAGTTCTGCTTTACTAAAGGAGAGAAAAACAAAAATGTCCCCTTTAATATGAATATATCCCAGCAGAAGCCAGTGGATGTCTATCCATCATCTGGGCATGTCTTCAAAGTGACTGCTGCTATCCAGAATCTCAGCCTCTATTAAAAAAGTAAAGTTTCCTGTGCTTTTTCAGTGAAAAAAACCTTAAAATAAATCTGGAGATGCATAACTTGGAAGGTTGCTCTTCATCTCAGAAGTGATAATGCATATGAACAGAGGTGTTCATTTAAACAGCCACTGTGATAACCTGTTCAGGCCTCTCATAAAGGACTTCAGGTATGCTTCAATTAACCAGAGAGATGAAGGGCTGCATGAGAGATTATATCACCTCCATTTCTTCTTGAAAAAATCTGAAAAGGTCAACTCCAAGTACCCACTGTACTATGTGTGCAGAATACTCTCCTTTTCATACGTAGTACATCCTGATGTACAGAATCTCTCAAGACATGCTGCTACATGACACTATGACCACTGTCAGCCACTCTTTTGGTTCCCAGAGGCAGAGGCAAAGCCAGCAGCGCCTGCAAAACTGATCTCTAAGACATATTGGCTCAGTTTGCTCTGTAGATCCAGATTACCCTGTCTCATTCACTGCAGTGCTGAAGAGAAAACACAGCATTATTTCTCTGCCAAACTACAGGTCTTGAATTCAGTTGCATCTGCATCTGAACCATTGCATTGGGCCACTTCCAATGGTAACCCCTCAAGCCATTTCCACACAACATGCTTTGCTCCAAGTAGTTGCTCTTAGATTCTGATTCAGTCCTCGCTGCTGGCAAACATCAAGTTTCTTGCATCCCCCCCACAGCTCTGATGCTCATTTCTTTACTGTACTTTTGCAGCAAGGTTTGCCTAGGTGCTACATGCAAGAAGAAATCAGTATGACGTGAAGACTTACGGGGGATTGTCGCATTTCCTCTGTCTGAATCGCACTCCTGTGCCACAAGTCCGGCTGCACATGCTCCACTGACTCCACATGCTCCAGTCTCCATCAACATGTTCAGGGATGGGAGTTTTACTGACACACTCCCCAGCTCGGCACCACTGAAATGCAATTGTGTTAGCAGAGTCTGGAAATGAGCCCTGGATCTTGCAAACAATCCTGTACTGGTGGACTTTAAAAGGATGTCTCAGAGATTACATGCCCATGTTTAAATTTCTGGAGATTCCAGGCTTCTGTGTGATGGATGAAGAAAAATATAGAAGTTTAAGTGTCACCCTCCATCAATCGCTACAGGAATTTCTGTCATTAAAAGAACATAATCACAGAAATTGGCCCCTTGCTTCATAATGCACGTAATTATCTAAATGCAAAGACTTCAAACAATGCTTTTCATAGAAACCAAATCCAAGAAGTTATATCCCAAAGCAATGTCTTCATCAGCAGTATTCCCTGTATGTACAAAATCATTGACTATTTTGACCCTAACTTGGCTAAAGCCCCAAACAACCTTGGATTCTAATAAGCTAGGCTGGCTCCTAGCCAAGTAGCAAACTTGGCCCATTCTCTTGCTCTGTCCAGGATATGATATAGTAAGCACTGCAAAGCAGTATTATGAAAGATTCGCTGAGACTCCTGTAGTTAGAAAAACATATATTTAAAAACTTCTTGTCTCAATTTCCTTGTTATGCTTTCCAGAACACAGCTTTTCTTGTCATTGTTTATCTTCCATTTGGAAGCATAGGCCTCTAATCTTTCTTTTTAGCAACAATCTTTTAAAGTTTACTCTTTCTTACCTCTCTAACCACACAGCATACAATAAATACTAAAATCCAAAACTAGTAAGTAAGGGGGTTGGCAATTACCAAAGCCATAAGTTTCTTTGTAGCTTAATGAGTTATCAGCCACAGTGGGAGAATGAACCACACACCACCCAGCACATCCCACCTTAGAGGTTAAACATGTTCACTGAAGTATACTTCTGTTAGCACAGCTGGGAGGTAGCAGCTCAGTTTCAGAAACTCTCACTCTTACAGCACTGAAGCTAGCTACTGGAGCAGTGAATTTCACTGCAGGGAGATCTAACAACCTATGAGTTTATTTTGTGTTTCTTGTAACTGTTTTCTCCATTGACCTGGACTCTGGAAAGTCCATACACACCTTATTCATCTAAGTAGTTACATACAGTAAAGCAAATATTACTGAAAAATAACTAAACATCAGTGAATTTAATCTCAGCATGTTTTGAGCTACTTTTAGTAACTAAGAAGTTTTTAAATAGCCTCTTGTTCCCCATCTGTCTCCACTCCCAAAATGCCAGTCTAAATGCTCACCATACTTCCTATCTCAATTACAGCCAAATACACTACCTTACCTTAGCTTGCACTGAAAAAAAATCTCACTCTTGAAACACCACCTGCAGCAATGAACAAACCTGTGAAGAGTGGGCGACTACCTAATGTGACTCACAGGGTACTCAGTCTGTACACTTAGAGTCTGGCATGGAGTTTTCCTATAGTGTTTGTGTATCACTTTGACAAGCCGTGGTCTCCAGAGGCTACTGGAATACACATAATAAAATCAACCCAATCCAGCTGTTCATTGAGCAATTTTTGTTACAGAATTGATATAAAATATGGATTCATGATAAATACTGAATCTTGGAAACATTACTCCACTGACAATGCTGGAAAAAACAAACTCATTGCTGCTGAGTATTTTGATTACCTTGTCTGCGCCACACTCAGTGCCATCCAGAGGGGGATCCAACTTTGTTTTACAGGATGTATCTCCTTCCACCAAGCACCAGAGTCCAGCACACATCAAATGCTGTAATCATAAAGCAATGAGGTGCAGTTATTACTTCTGGATGTCAGCTATCATTATGAGATACACTGCAAAGCTCAGGCAGTCTCTCTCATTCTCTCTTGTGAATCCAGAGGCATCTAGTTGGTCTGGGAGCCGTTATTTTTAAGGATTGATTGTCATTAAGTATTTGGGCTGGGAACATAAAAGAGATTGATGGACATCATTATCAGGAACAAAACCCATCCTAAATAAGAAGTCTATTATTTAAGAAGATTTCTTTTTCACTAAAATAAATCTGGTTCATTAAATAGGAATCCTATTTGGGAGAACAAAAGATGAGCGCTTTGGAATCACTTCAGAAATTTGGGCGTCTGAGCTGCTTAATTACTTGCATGTTTTTCCTCTAAAGGTACTAACAGAACTAAGCATGGTAAAAGTCAGTAACCCTGTTGATCCTGCTGGCATGGCCTTTGAGAGAAAAAGATCTGAAGAAGTTATAAGAGCAACGGGTTTCACAGTGTGCCACACAGCAGAGGAGCTTGGTGATAAACTATAAAAATGCAGACAGGCTGGGAGAAAGAGAAGGTTTGGGAGTGAGCAGTAGCTGCTAGAGTCCAAAATGCTAGAGAAGGTGAAAAGTCAAACGTTAGGGCAAGAGCAGCATGAGGTACCACACATCTCGCTACCAGACTTTAAGCATGTTTTGGGTATCATTTCTCAGCACTGCTGTTCTGCTCAGCAAAAGTGTGTTAGAGGGATATTAATGGTGACCACACTTGCGTGATCTGTCAGATCAATGATATTTTCAGAATCTCAGAAAAAGAAGCAGAAAAAAGGGCTTTTACATCGTTAATATTTTCCACAGCATCCACCATGCTTTGCATTCCATGAAAGTAGATGAATTCAATACAGTGCTACAGATCCGAGTACCAAAAAAAGAAAAAGAAGAGTTACATTTCTTTCCACTATTGTTCACGTTTCAGTGTAATGGTAAAAAGATGAGAAGCCTGACTCTAGTGCCAGCTGGTCTTGTCAAGATTTATTGCACCTCATTAAATAGTTGAGTCAACATGCTCAGACCTTTTGGTTCTCTCACAATATGATGTTTAAGACTGTGGGTGCATGTGTGTTTTGTGTATACACATGCTATGTCTCTGTGAAATAGAGCTGTAAGGCAGAGGGTGTGGATGAGATAAATCCCAACAGTAGTGATGATGCAGAACATACTGAAACGAAATAAGTTATCACCGCAGTATCTGTATCCCATTTTGCTTCTACATTTCTCGATGGAAAGAAGCTTTTGTACTACTTAAGCCAAGAGAACATTCACAAAAACTAGAAGCAGATAGCACAATTTAGCAACATCTGTACCAAACACAACACAGAAAGCTATCATCAAGCATACAAACAACAGCAAATACACAAGGGAAACATAAATCCGTGAATTTACCAGACATTTTTCCTAAGTTAGTAGTGCATATGAGAAAATATCAGATGTCGTTTTGATTAAATGATTGTGACTAATGAGTGGTTTACCCACAGCTCTTGAGCTCCCATTAGCAGAGAGGACACCACATGCTGTTTTACAGACAGGTACACAGAGACAGAAGAATTGACAAGCCACAGATACCAGGACAAAGGAATCAATTTTTCCACACTGCAACTCCCAGGTTCTCAAAACCCCTCATTCCCTGGAGAGCACTAAAATCAAGAAGTATGTCTATTAACTGTCAAGTCTTACAGGGAGAATAGTGATCTAAGCGATAAATCCTTTAAACTGAAAAAGTATTTTCCCAAAATGTCAAACTTACAGCTCTGAGAGGATGCTTATTTTCCTAGAGGTAAAACTACAACCCTGCATCTGTTTTAACTCACAGGGATCAAAAAGCAATGAGTTATTCTTTATATTAAGACTACATACATGAATAATTGAAAATGGAATCTAAAACAGAGATGTTAAAAGCATGACAAGGACCTAAGAGCAAAGTATCATAAGAGGTTCTAGATACAGAAGCAGAATGTGTTAGATGTAGCTACAACTACAATTCAAAGCAACCTATGAATATGATGGACTACTGAATTCCAGAAGCTGCATGTAAATTAGAGTTAAAGTCTCCTGTTTGATGTTAAAAATAATAAATAAAAAAAAAAAAAGGGAAGAGAAAGAGGGGCGATGGAAACAAAGTCATAAAAACAAAGCAGTTTCTTATACAATTTTGGTTGCCAAACAGAATTCCTCCATAGTCTACAAGAATGTGGAAGGTGATACACTCAGCTAGCAGGCCCAGCTATGAGCCATGGCCTGGGGGAAGCATTGGGCACAGCTAATTTCAAACAGGTGAGTCCATATCAGCAGAACCACAGCACCCAAACCAGCCTGTAAACACAGCTGGTGCAAATACTCACATGTGTATGTGCCTACGTGTGTATCCCTATATACACACGTATATACATGAACACATTCACACACATATAATAAATAAAAGAAAAATATCTCTTTTACCAATACCTGCCTTTCTGAAATCACCCATTTTTGAGGTATGGAAAACATAGGATTTTTATTGTGTCTCTGTATTTGATTCTGAATACTAAATGCAAAGCATATTTCAGGAAGCAGTTATAGAAAAATCTGGTAACTGCACTTCAGCTCTGTGTTCTAGTGCCATACCACTACAAAGCTGAAATACTCATTAGTGCAGTCCCCTGTATTTAATGCAGCTTTTAGATACCTCAGCAAAGATTAAGCCATCAGCTTTGGTACTGTATATTCCCAAGATGTTTTATCATGTTAATAGCTCATTTCAAAAGAGATCATATATCCTCCTCAGCTGCAGTATAAACCCAAACAGAAGTACTCATTAAATAGTCCTGTAGTTAACCAGTTACAATGACTGATTTTTTAAAAATAATTAAATAGTCAGCTTTGTGGGGAAATATCAAAGCAGGAAATGGCATGACTTAAAAGAATGCTGCTTGTATATCAATGTCAGTTCAGAGCTTACACTGATATAGAAGTTATCAAAAGATCTCTATTACTGTTAATTGTGTCAGCAACCAGGTTTAAGAAAGATCTCTGCCTGCAAAGTCCTCCTTACAGCATCCACAAAGTGCCTGTGAGGATTTTCCAATGATAGATATTTTTCTCTGGAAAAATATTGATGAAACTGTCTGTGTGGAAAGGTCATCCTTGGATCAGCCCCCAGCCTGACGTATTTCCAGGAGGCGAAAAAAAAAAAAAAAAAAGTGAGATGGTTGTTGAAATGTAATACTTCAATAAAAATGCAGATTTCCTTTTTTAAAATTGAAATACTTGTTCAACTGAAACCTTAAGGAATTTATACAGACAGATAACAAACAAACCAAAATCAAAGGGGCAAATTTTAGTCTCTCAGAAACTCCTGCAAGATAGGAAAACTTGCCTGCATAGGTGTTAGAAGTCAGTCCTGAGAGAGGTCACCGCCCGGAAGCTCCCAAGCTGGGGATTTCTGCTTGGCACGTGAATGGCGCTTCCGATTGCAGCTGTTACAATGGCACCTATTTGAGAAAGGGGCCTTACTGTGCCAGGTGTTTTCTCTTCCTCAAAGAATTTGTAATCTAAACAGGCTCCTGGAATTATGGAGACAAAAGAAGCTTTTCCCTTTTGTTTTAGGTGACAAGTCAGGAAGAGGAAGGGATTAAATGTCGTACTGAAAGTCTGCTCAGACACGAGCAAAAACTCCGCTCAGAGTTCAGCAGTCCTCTGCTCAGTGTCACAGCCACAGACTCGCACTGCCTGCTGGCTAAACTTCAGAGTAAAACTAGAAAAAACTCCTGGGACACCCCCAGGAACATGTCTGGCTGTGGGCCTTCCCACCTTTCACAGTTTCTCATACTTCTGCACAACACATACCGTCTCTGAAGATGGTGTTTACCTTGCATGCAGCCCCATCCCAGACACACGCCAGCACAGACTCGCAGCGTATGAAGCACTACGACCACTCACATGTGGCTCTAGGAAAGTAATCTATTTTAAGGCTCTTTAACTCAGTACTGCAGCTGGAAACGAGGAGAAGCCAGCATTAATTCAGCCAGCTCTTTGCCCACAGGCAATCAGACTAGAGTCTGTTAGTTTCTGGGTTAGCTGTTGCATCACCAGTTAAAAGCTGTGTGATTCTGTCCAATGACCTCATATGATCTCAGTGAGAAGAGAATGCTCACATAACTCCTCTGTCTCAAGCCTCAAATTATTACCTACACAGGGAAGCTTCCAAATCTCCAAAACAAAAAGAGAATCCAGTGAATAAAGAGAGCCTACCCACCAGCTAACAGCTCTACAGAAGCTAGTTCCTTCCCTACACATTCACTCCCCCATCTTGGACTCATCCAAAACCAACAAACTACAACACAACCACCGCTACAAAAAACCTCACAGTTAATTCTTCTGAAAAAGAATTTGTTCCTGCTGCCTGCTGCCCATTGGAAAGATGGGCAGCTTCTTATTTCCAGAAGCAGAATTAACCACCATGAAACCGATTTTGCTGTCAAAACGAGAGGATTATGAAGAAGGACTTAGCAAGAACAAATATCCTTAAGGAAGGATATTTGCCACTTAACACAAGGGCACACTTATAAATAGATTGGCTTTCAATGAAATATCAGATCTCTTTAATTTTGCCAAGGTTTTGGCTTGGCAAATAGCTAACAGTGAGATAAAACATGCTGACAAACAGAATCCTAATTAACACCTATTAAGTACAATAAACACACTTTTCTGTTCAAAGCCCTGTGTATGCGTTCTTGAATCCTCACAGCATGCTTCTGAGGAGGCCTTCTTTACACAACACAGTGAGAAAAACAACACCCTCCTTTTCTGTGTCAGTGCCATTACTTTTGAATAGATAAACAACAGACAACCCACCATGGATTGCAAAGGAGGTGAGCACTATTGTTTGCCACTGGTGTTAGCGCAGTTTCTTCCTGTTGAAAACTAGATGAAAGGTTCTGAAAATCATAATAGTATAAAATTGGAAGGCACTTCGGAA